TGATAAAGTCGTCGTACACTTCGAGTTTTGGGCCCGGCCAGGCAGTCACGCCGAATGGCGTCAATGTCTGACAAACATAATTTTCCGGCTGCTCCCGCCCAACATTCACCATGGTTTGCCGTATGTCAGCTTGAATTGAGTGACACACAATGGAGCGATGCTGCTCTGACCTACAGCGCCACATGTCGCTCACATGACTCGTCAAACGTCTGAGCAATGTTTGACCGCCACGGTGCAAGTGTTGGCTACAAATGTTCCCACAGCGTCCAATGTCGGATGTCCCTTAGATGTTTGACAATATGTTTGAGGCAGCACTCTACAGACCATGCCTCAGCATATGGGCCATGCCATTGGAACTATAGGGTTTACTATCGAGCAATGCACCATTGCTTTGTCGTACAGACTGTATCGTACAGTCACAACATTAATATCATGAACATGATGGCATTAAACAGTGTGCGAGGGAATTACAGGCAAAGACAACGAGAATATGTATGTAAGTAGTAGACTACCACATCAACTTTTCATGGATCGCTCTTTGCCAACCAACAGTGACCGAATCCAAACTTGGAGCTAATGAACCGCCACCAGGGAATATCTGGAGGTCTTGCTGAAGACATTCGGTGAAAAATCTGGAAATGAAGTTGAGAATTAGCGGTGTCAATTTTATCAATTGAAACATACTGTTTGATATAATCAGCGCGTGCTTGAGGAAACGCATGCTTTTGTCGAGCCTCCTCTTTAAGCTCGTCAAGAACCTTATCAAGGTACTCCCAATACTGGCTAAAAGACCAGGTGCGCTCCTCCTCATTGTCATTATCATCCTCCCCATCCTCTCCAAGTTCATGGCTCGCACTGGCAGTAGTACCAATTGGTATATTATTGTCACCACCTTCGTCAGTCTGGGGCTGCAGACTCGGACCTGTTGATGCTTCTTCGAGTTGAGCGTTAGTGGTCTTCTGGTGAGAACATAATGTTCGGAAGTCAATTAGGAAAGATCGCTTATGAACACACTGCAAGGTGTTGGGTCACACTCTTATATAAGCTCGAATCTTGGCTGGTTCACGTTGTTGTCGACACACGCACACCCGAATGGACATGGGGTCGTGACGCATTCTGGATGGCATTTCTTGCAGCTTATCCTGACTTCCCTCACGGCTCTTGGCCCCTTTGGAATTCAAGAATCAGTCTGGAAGGAGCGTTTATTGAGTCGTGGACACTCACTGAGGATCCAGAGGATTCACCTGCGTTGATCACAGACCATGATACTATCAGAGCTGGTATATGGACCGAGTTTCAAAGACTAGCCGCTGAATGTTTTCCGTACTCACTTGTAGCTGAGCTTTGATTTTCGAGAGCTACATATTTTTTGTCCTCGTATATAGTGTATATATATATCAGATACCCGTTCTTACTGTCAAGCTTGTTGAATGCATAGAATCGAATTATGACGTCTACAAGAATAATATAGACGAGCAAGTTCAAGCAGGCCGAGTCATTACATCACGCTTAGGGACAACATTTACAAGAAACGGCAAACGGATATCTTTGTCATTGAGCAGCTATAGTAGATTTTAACTCATGTATAGTAAACCAATGCTCGACCTAAACAATATATGTGACAAACATCTAGGCAAACACCGCACAAATGTCTAGATCGCTGTGTGTGACCTATGCTCCTAGCGCGGTGTTCTACAGTGGCCGCTTGGACCCAAGCTCGGATATATTCCAAACATCTGGCAGACGTTTGACTAAACATCTCATGGACAACCGGTGGCAGACATACCACATTCAAACCAAGCTAACATATCACACGTGTCTGCCCGGTGTCGCCCCGGAGGTCTCTCACAGGTCGTAATAATATTTGTATCAAATGTTCTTATTAGGTTACGGCCGTTTGGCGGTGTAGCTGACGCGTCCAGTAACAGTAAGCCTCGTCGGGCCTCGGGGTACAACTAAGTTTTGTTACGTAACATTATTGGTTGCATTTACTTATGGCTCCTAAAAATAAGGCAAGCGCAACGTAAGGACGAAAACCTCGGCCGTCTCTTTCGCTGCCCTCATTCTTCTCTGGTGACCGAAGGTGTGCTTTTGGCGCCCACGCCACAATGTTATACGACCACTGTCGTCCTCCGCCAAACTCATTCTACATTTTACCGCCGCCAACGCACGCCGTCACTAAGTTATTGAATATCGATATTTCGGGCTTTAACCCGGGGAGCCTGCGCCGGTACCACCGCCATCAAGCATCGTCATCCCCGCACTTGCACTCGCACTCGCGAACGGCAACAATGACCTAGACAAGTTGTCCGTTTCGGGCTCCTCGATTGAAGTTGAACGAGCTTTAAAGTTGCATGTATTGGTCGCTATCATGCGAGCCTAGCGTACACCATGTTGCTTATGGCTACTGCAAAATACAATACGCTCCCTGCAATACGAATGATAGCGCGAAACGTTAAAAAGCGGTCCAAGCACAGCACGAAAGCAATTGGATGGTGCGAGAAGCACACGATGCGCACACTTAGTACGAGGTACTGTCCACGACAGCCTGGATGGTGTTCTTGACCGAAAACAACAATGTTCGAGGAACCCTGAGCGAATGTTTGATCCACGGTGCTGCTATCGAGGAAACGTAAGTGTTCAGGACCAGATCTCGAGTAGGTTAATAGCGGCTGCAGTAGCGTTGTACCAAAGGAACGTGATGGTAAGAGAACAAGAGAACCTGTGTTGACGACATGTAAACTTCTGTTAGTACCTGGCGCACTGCACCTGCAAGTAGCATATAGTAAATGTAAACGTTGCGAAATGATAGTTGCAAAATGAGTGCGAGGAATGTAGAATTCAAAGTTTGCGCTACGCGCACTAGGTCGCCCTATCGAGGATAGGCCATGGTTTCAGCCGGTGTTGACGAGAGGGCGAAACCTTGACTGCTACATAGAGGAAATGCGATTAAGCCGCCATGTCGACACCGATGTCCAACGAAGGCGCTGACGCGGCTGTAGGGTCAAGCCTCGTTTCGTGAAGCTGAAAATTTTGATAACACGCAAGTAATAGCACACGCGTTCAATTGCATGCGCTCCACATACCACAAGTTCCCAGGCTTACTTGTCATTACACAACATCGTGTTTCTCGCACGTCCTGACAGCTGGGCACCCCTGCAGGTTAATGTCCGATGGTTCACTGGGGTTGATCCGGCTCAGCTAAGTCTTTAATTGGCAACTCGCATTCCCTACTTCCTGATCTGAGGCCTTGATCAGGGATGATAACCACATTCTCAGGTTCCAGGAAACATAAACACAATGATGGTCTCTCCTACACAGCCCAACGGTTGCGTATGCGTAGTACGGAGCACGTTCTGTCCAAACAAATAGAAAGGTGAAGTTGACAATTATAAGGAGCGTGTGAATTGATACATTGTCGAAACTAGTACTCTTGAAGCAAATTTGTACGGTACCCTCTTTGGCCACTGGAACGTTCTTCGATCATACTGTGCCTCGACTTCTTATAAAACTGCTAAGGTTTGTAACTAGTGTATATCTCGGAACGACGATGACGGGCCTCCGAGGATGTCCAGGCGATGCCTATCGATGCCAGAAAGATACTCGCACCAGGATGCAGGTCCAACTGGATCTTTCCGCGGGCCAAGTACTGGGATCCTACTCACTTCTTCCTTTTCATCGGAATGCTACTGCCACGTAACGTTCCTCCATGATTTTGGGTAAATAACTCTGAATCTTGAGATCAGAGTGAACATTAAAATTTTCAATAGAAAGGACATCATCACGTGAGGGTAGGTGCGGCAGCATCTCTCTTTAGTATGTGCAGGCAAGCGTTCGAAGTAGAGTGCATGCATTCGTACCCTCGTTGTCAAAAAGCAACTTCACACCCGCAAGCGACCAGATTGTCCTGTGAGGTGCATTCACTTTGATTGCGACTTGCAAGTTGTAAATCGAACAACGTTCAAGTTGTGGTGCCAAGGCAAGAAATAATCAGTCGATGTTGCTACCGTGACTTACCCTATACACTGACAGAGCCGAGCTTTCGGTTTACTATCCCGCATATGTACGGTGAATTCCTGAATTGGCACTCGCCTGTGCAACGAACTCTGTTTGACTCATTCTGAAGATTTGATCTACCACTGATGTGACAGAGCTGAAAGTTTAAACCACCATCATACATCGGTTTGCGGCGTCGGGCTGAGCAAACCTTGTTGTACCACATGCATTGTAACAGTTTTATTCTGTAGTACCCTCTGGTTTGTGCCAAGTTTTACCAAAGAGACTTGCAACTTGAAGTTCGCCGGCAAAACCCAGTAACACCACGTGATTTTAACTTTTCTACTGATCCAGTGATCGGTTCTTCTCGATTTCCATTCTCTCCGGATCAGCTAGTCTCGTCCGCTTGTTGGGTTCACGCTCTAATTGTCGAAAATCAAAAATCGTCGCTCCACGTGTGCATGGGTGTTTTTGAGTCTGGATCAAAAATCGTACTTGATCGGTCGCCTTCTACAAACGGGCGGCTGTCTGACCTTTCGAAGATGGTTTCCTATACACAAGGCCAGACGAAGTCTCGTCATCGCAGGTTTTGATCCCAAGTCTACGTTCCCTGTTGTCACGGTGTTGGAGGCGTCTGTTGTATGTTTCCACTAATGCACCATCATCGTGATAGGGCCCTGAGGTGATGCTATTCAATGCGGTTGGTTGCTAGTCGACTCATCTGCTCTCAACCATCTTATGGAATGGCCCCTGCAATGGGTTGACAGCAAGGGGTATCAATACATCCCAACACAACCCGTGATTCGTCGTGCCCTGGGCTGCAGTCATCTTACGTTGCCTTAACTTTGAACATCGCCCCATTTCCCCTGCATAATTCCGCTCTATCATCCAAATGCACACGGTTTGTTCTTCGTTATGTGTTGGCGGCAGCAGTCGCGCGCTTGCATTTCGCACTTCTCGGGATGTATTTTCGAAAGATGATTGTTGCAACAAGAACACCGCGGTGATCATGTTACGTTTGCAGATTAGAGTGAGGTTAACGATCTTAACTTATGTCATTTTTGACACTCCTTTGGTAAGGACGCGCACACAAACTCTCACTATGTATTCCACAGTATTTTCTGCGTGCCTCAAACTGATATGGATAAGATCTCAGCTGATACGTTTGGATTACCGATATAGTACGCACTATTTTTGCATGTGGATATTGTGACTGATGCGAGTATAGTGGCTTATTTTGTCATGGAGCATCCAGGATATCGAACGGTTTTGCCGTCCTCTCGTTGGGTATATGCCAAGGGTATATGGGTCTAATAAATACGTCGACTAGAAGCTACAAGGTAGGTGAATCTGTAAAAGTAATAGATCATGGATGCTACAAGTACTCAAAATATTCAAGGATTCCTCGAATTCCGATATATAACCTAATTTATTTCTACCCTTCCTAAGTAGTATGGAACTCGATCTATGTTCGAGTGAATGAGCGACATGTCGTTCCACTGTCCGGGGAACGAATTGTGTCGAAACTTGCGAAGGGGTTGGTTGAACCAAACTCCAGTTGTCCCCACCACCGATAACATGGTGGATCTCTGTCTGAGGGTGGCCTTGATACTCTAGCATTGAGCTCGTCACCGATGTGTCTGACATTGGGCTACTGTTCCTTGTCCTTGACGCAAGAGCGTTTGTCCATGTCTCGTTGTTGGGAATCACAAGAGGTTCTAGGGTTGTCTATGAGATCCTGTCGCCGACGAGCTGAAAACGCGTACCATAAGTCGTGTGAGATACCTGGTCAGCTTCATAGGGTGATGCTGAGGAGTATTCCAAGGGCGGGAGCGGCTCATGCCTAGAAATTGCCCCATGTTCTCTCGATAAATCCTGCAGGAGTTGTGCAGCTGTGAAGGGGATAAGCGATCATGCAAGCAGAACGTGTTGTGAAGCAAGCCTACCTTTCTTCAAGGTTTCGCGCCTGGTCTGGGGAGTCTCCCCTGTCACCGAGCGGATCACGTCTTTGAGTTCTTGGAACCCGTCGCCCTCTTTGACCCGATACTGCCTCTGCGATGCAATTTTGCTTTGCTTCGGAGGACGTTGGTAGCTTTGCGCACCGCGGTAGAGATGCATAGTTGCAATCGCACAGTTGGGTGAAGTCTACAGGTGGGTTTAGAAGCCTGCTTTTATAACATCCTCTACTCCGCCACGCAAGTTTCGTAAACTCGGTTTTTTTTGGACTATCAAGCGAAGTCCGAGCTTAGGAATCTCATTTCAACCTCATAGCGCGGGTCCAGATCTAGATGGCTTATTTTTCAGGCGGCCCACCGATTATACTACCAGCGCAAGGTTTGATTAGATTGAATCGGACCGTGGTGAGTCAACTGATGTTTGATGACAGGTCTATCAAGTGCTTTTACGAACTATACATCAGTGCTGCACGTTGCGCAGGTTTAAAGTTTTTCGTGTTAGTATTACTCTCAAGACTTACAATCCGCCTGTGATTGTATAGCATCCGACTCGGGCTCGGAGTCGGTAAGATACCGAAATATGATGTCATAATGGGCGAGAAGCATTGATTCCAGCATAATTACTCCTGCATTTTACTACAGCAAAAAAGCATTAATGGAGTCAGCGACTCGGGAGTTACTTGGTAGAAATATCAGCTGACACGTGTATTGTCATTGATGGGATGATCATCATGAAAAAGGGACAAATGTGTCGCATCCAAGGCTATGCAGCGGTCACCAGTTATGCACATTGGATGATCAACTATGTACTAACGTTAGCTAGATCGGAGCCGTAGGTTAGCCCGGGCAATTCTCGGAGTCCGCAGCACCCACCAGCCACATTCGAACCCCGATTTTCGTCGATCGTTTGGCTGTCCACATTCATTTTTGAGACACACACACTTCGGGGCTTTGCTTGCTCTGAGTAAATCGAATTTGGGAAGGCACATATGGACTTTCGAAACTCCGTGATGCTATGCTCATGTCATTCAGCACGTAAGTGTCTTTCATAATTGACCCAAGGCACATGGACTTACAGCCACAGTGGAAAACAAAACAAATCTCGAAAGCAATGCCCGATTTCTTACTGAAATAGGCGACAATGTTCGAGAAGTCTGGTTAGAGAAGGGTCAACAATGATGCGACGGCCGCCGATGGTGAATGTGATTTTGACCGAGACCTTTGGAATATTGTGATTGGTTTGGTTTCGGGAAGCCAAGTGTGCTCTTGTAGACAAAATCCTGTGATAGCGAGTAAGACCCAATTTCCACTTAGCTCATATCACAATTGGCCGATGGAGCCGCTGCCGAATGATGATCGATGACGCGTCGACGAGCGAAGCCGCTGCGCCATGACTAGCACCCACAAGTAAAGGCACTCTCGGCTCTAACAGTCAAAAAACATTAGATGCTCACATAACGACGCAAAAAAGGACATCAGGCAGCTCCATCAGTGTGCTGTCATTTTTTGATCCTTGGTGGTATTATCCGCTAGGGCCAAGCCCTATGGTGGACAGCACCGACAACATGGACCAGGTACGCGTTCTGCATGTATCTGTGTCCGTAATGTGATGTTTATGTTGTACAATGTCTTGGCTTGTGCGAGGACGATATGGCCATCTTCAGGCTCTCGATACGATAATGTGTGGCTCCTCTATTCGAACTCTTTTTCCTCCGGACGCATATGCCACATATGTTGCCGCAGCCCCCGATGCCGACGTACAAGGAACTCCGCGCACGCTTTGATTTGTCCAAGCCAAACATTGATATTTCAGGAATAAACCAGTGACCGGGTCCTGACAGTCTTCGAAATCGGAGGCAATCATGAATGAATTTTAGATTCATCGATAGTAAGCTCCGCCGCACTCCAACGTTCAACGGTGACGAGAATACGCCCCACTGGACAATACGTGGTGGGAGTAGAAACCAAGGCGATTGCCAATATGGGAAAGAGTGAGTACAAGATAACGGTATGGAGTGTCGCTGTTGGGAAAACTGACCAGGATGCATGCTATGCTGCGAATTTTATTTCGCTATGATCAAATCCCCTCTTCATTGAGCGGCTGGTACCGATATCTATCCCCCTATGCTCAACGACTTCTTGGAAGCAAGGTGCGGCAAATAATTTTCTCGGAAAATTGGATATTATGTAATATGAAATAGTTTATTTTTGTACAGGATTTCCACATGGTCATAAAAATAATCACATGATTATTTCATTCTATCTTACACAGATCTGATATTCAATATTCAATCCGTGTTCGCTGGATCAAAATATTGTGTTTACTCGCCTCACTAACAAATTGCCACGAGGAAACTACATGCCGCGGAGCAATTGCAAGGTGAAAGTCCGAATAGACTCATAACCATTCTGCCGTGCGCAGATGACGGTCGATCTCGGCAGAGAAAGCATGGAGTTCGAAATTTGCAGTTGCCGACTGTGTCGGTATACTCAAGACTGCTCATTGGTTTCGCGAGACGGAGCAGAGAAGTGAGTTTATTACCGTGTCATTGATGTATGTCATCATAACTATTTCCAGGGTGGTTTCGTCTTCACTGACGCCACGATGGTTGAACGTTAACCGTTGACATACCCTGAGAGGTTCAGACGGCTGATGGGCCTATAGTGCAAGCATCTGCGGCAAAAGTACTGCAGAATATAGTATCATTTTAATGATCTAGTTCGTGTGCTATGTGAAGGGGTGGTATCGGACCATACGGTATGACTCAAGTGTAGTTTGAAGCCAAGCGGCACAATCGGCAACTGCAAATATTCAAACTCCGTGCTTCCCCGAGATCGACATCGCAGCCAGGGCCGAACCCAAGTAGAAAGTTTTAGAATAAGAATTTCTATATGTACCGCAACAAACAACGACTAGTGACGCGGTGCTCTGCGAGCTGTTCTAGAAAGCAGTGTGCGAGAAAAGGAAAACGGCGTAGTACTCACGAAGAAGGTTTGATAATTTTCATGGCAACTTCGGAATTGGTGGGCTGCCCCAGCGACTGAATTGACAGTTTATTTCGTCTAGTTTATTATTGACGAGTGATATACTATAATTAGGCATATCGAGGAAGCTGCTTTATCCCAGTAGTAGATAATCCAACTGTATTTACAATTTTCCAGACATACGGAAGATACATTTTGGTGGGTATTCTAATATGTTGAGATCGTAGCTAGGTTAGTCCATCATGTATGTCTGGTCTGTCGTGGTGCAGCAATATAGAGCGTCGTACAAGCGGTCATCACAAAAGAGCAGTAGAAGATATAAAGAGCCAGCTTCAGAAAAGAAAAGAAAATAGCGAAAATGGATCAACAATTGCGTGTGATGATGATACCTCAACACAAGGCCTTCGGAGGCCGTCGAGATAGCAGACCGAGGATCTAAAAATTGTCGAATTATTGTGCCACATTCAGGCCGATCTCCTGATTGCACAAATGCAACTGTACCAGCCGGAAAGGCAAGATAAATCGAAAATCGTCATGTAGGTTTATAATAGATGGTCGTGAGATACTGCGGTTTCATGGTCAGTAATCGTGATGGATGCTATGATACGAAAATGTAAACCTTCGTGCGATATCGTGTGGTATTACCCACGGCCAAAACACCATTGCGAATTGCACTGGTGCTCAAGTGGTGCAGGACAACATGAGATGGAACAGGAAGAACGCTAGCATCATCGCTGAGCCCAGGACCATCAAGACCCAACCGAGTATGCGCAGGGGCTGCCAAATGCACACTGGTTACATCCGTGCCGCTTGCCGTAGTGATAGGAATTGCAGGAGCTTCTAGTTCTGTCCTCTCCTCCTTGTGAAGTTCACGAGCAACAGTGCTCGTCATCCCCAAAAGGGATCGTCCTTGTCGTCGTTTGCTTTCGCGCTCCCTTTCACGTTCACGTTCCCGATCACGTTCCCTGCCCCTGTTACCTGCGGGAGACTGCCCGGGTTTCGCATTCAGTATCAGTTTATCAAGATGTCGTGGCAGTCCGGGCGCAGGTGGAATGTTGGGAGTAGGGACATATTGATAAGGGGTCTGATCGTACTCGGGACCGGCTGTGTACGCTAGGTAGGCTTCTTCCTCCCGAGCAGCTGCTATAAGCCCTGCGGGGATATCATCGGTCCACTTTGCAAGCGTACCCTTTGAATCGCTTGTATCCATAATGGAGCCGTGAGTAGAGCTTGTTGTTGACCAGAAGGAGTGCGCATGAGGGTGTGGAGGGCGCCCCGGTGTAGCAGGGGCAACAGACGACACGTGGGGTGGAGTCAACCCGGAGATAGGAACAGCAACGTAATTTGCAAGACTACCTTCATCATCAACGGCAGTTGGCAAGTCATCTGCTACCCGCCACTGTTCATCAACGATGAATCGAATATGATGAGTACCAGGCAAGAGCGGTACCCATGCGGACCATGATTTGTCGCTCGATGGATCGCTATCACAAGCTATTAACAAGGACAAAGGATACAAAGGAGACGA